GCCAAAAAGATGGCAGACTAGGCACATACATTACACAGACATTTACAATATAGACACAAGAGACCCAATGAAGCAGATACAAGTGATAATCCTGAAATTCTAATCTTCGGCATAAAGGACAGAGAAGTGGATTGAATACCTGAACAAAAGCAGCAAGAGAAGACAAAGACAGGTGAACTGTCACCTAGCCCAATGAGGCACAACCATTTTGAACTTTTGAAAGCTGTGCTTCATCACACAGTGGCCTAATAATGTAAACTGACTATTGTGGCTGACAACAAAAACGATGGGATCTTGTTTCCTACATCTTCTTGCTGACCAGAAGTATGGTCAGCCCCACCTTCACCCACCTATTGGCCATTAACATTCTCCTCCCTACCCACTACTTGGGAGATCAACAATTCTTTCCATAACCAGTCTTTCTGTCTCCAGGTGCCCTCTGGGCCCCAAAAATTTCTTACAGAAACAACCTCAGTCACCTTCTGAGACTACGCAGTTTACTTCTGGATCTGACAACACATGTTGTTGTTGTTGTTGTTATGTGCCATGGAGTTGGTTCTGACTCATAGCGACCCTGTACAGGGTTTCTGAGGATGTAAATCTTTACGGGAGCAGAAAGCCTCATCTTTCTCCTGTGGAACAGCTGGTAGTTTCGAACTGCTGACCTTGCAGCTCGCAGACCGATTTGTAACAACTGTTTTGAATTAGCTTCAGCAAAATTTTATTTGCATGTGATATTTATAATATTGTTCAATAATTTATGCATCCTGTTGGGTCGGTTATCTTTGGAATGGACATAAATATGGATTGTTTCAATTCAGTTGGCCAGGTAGCTCTCTTCCAAATTTTTTGGCATAGACTAGTGAGTGCCTCCAGCACTGCATCAGTTTGTTGAAACATTTTAGTGGTATTCCATGAATTCCTGGAGCCTGGTTTTTCATTAATGCCTTCAGTGCAGTTTGGACTTCTTCCTTCAACACCATCCATTCTTGATCATATTCTGTAAACACTGTGGTTGAATGTTGACCAGTTTGTTTTGGTACAGTGATATGTTCGCATGGTCCTTCCATCTTCTTTTGATGCTTCCTGAATGGTTCAATATTTTGCCCATAGAATCCTTCAGTATTGAAAGTTAAAGCTTCAGTATTTTCTATGGTCCTTTCAGCTTGAGAAATGGTCTTTAAGATTACAGATCTTTGCATATTTCATTATAATATTTTGCTGTGTCTTCTTGAGATTTCCTTTGAAATTTTCTGTTTAGCTCTTTTATTTCACCATTTCTTCCATTCACTTTAGTTACTCTATGTCCAAGAACAAGTTTCAGAGTCTCTTCTGACATCCACTTTGGTCTTTATTTTTAATGACTTTTTACTTTCTTCATGTATGATGTTCTTGATGTCATTTCATAACTCATCTGGTCTTCTATTATTAGTGTTCAATGTGTCAAATCTGTTCTTGAGATGGTCTCTAAATTCAGTTGAGTTGTAGTCAAGGTCATTATTTTGGCTCTTGTGGACTTGTTTTAGCCTTCTTCAGCTTCAGCTTGAACTGGCACATGAGCAATTATTGGTCTGCTCTATAGTCAGCCCCTGGCTGACAATATTGAGCTTTCCCAGCATCTCTTCCCACAGATGTAATCAATTTGATGCTGTGTATTCCATCTGGTGAGGTCCATGTGTATAGTTAGCATTTTTGTTGTTGAAAAAAAAGCGTTTGCAATGCTAGATGCCTTCTTATATTTTACTATGTGCCTCTGGAAGACTATGTGTGTTCATGTTTTCTAGACAGATTCAATGTAAGTTGAATGCCATGTCCATAATATGGGGGATTTTGGATTCAATGGCAATGGGGAGCCCAGAAATATTAGTACAAAGTTGCCCAGATTTGGCAACACTGTTTCTTGTATAGTATGACATCATGTCTGTCCTCTGTTTGACTTCAGCTTTGGTTACATGAAGTTACATAGGACACTTGAGCATAGGACACCAAAAGATTGTTTCTTTTATCAAGAAAAACTTTTTTCTTAACTTTTTTCCACATTGGTCTCCTATAATATTTGTCCTTTTGTGACTGACAATTTCACTCAGCATAATGTCCTCCAAGTTCAACCATGTTGTGAGGTGTTCCACAAATTAATCATTATTCTTCAACATTTTGTAGTATTCCCTCATGTATATGTACCAAAGTTTGTTTAACCATTCTTCTGCTGATGGGCATTTAGGCTGCCTGGATCTTTTAGATATGTCTTGTAGATAGCATATTGAAGGATCCAGTTTTCTTATTCATTCTGCTCTTTATGGCTCTTGTACATTTAATCCATTTATATTCAGTGTAATTTTCAATAGATATGAGTTGATTGCTGTAATTTTTATGTGTGGTTTTTTTTTTGTGTGTGATGCTGCTAGACTCTGTTCCACATAATTTTCTATGGTGAGTTAATTTTGCTTGTGGGTTTTTATTTCATTTTCATTTCTGTTGTGTTACTGTTTACTAAATCTTTCTGATTTTCTTCTTTTTTTTAATGTGCAGGTATATTAATTTTCTTTGAGATTGTCCTGTAATGTATTATTTTTTTCCCTGTTTTATCTTGAGATCTACTTTACTTCTTGTCACTTGGAAGTCCTGTATCTCCATTATTTCCTCTTTTTTGCTTTGTAGTTAACTTCATTATACATTAATATCTCTGGTTCCCTATTTTCAGTCTTGTAGGTTTGTTTTACTTTAAATACTTCTATATCTAGATTGATTTTTGGTTGGTGTTGTCATGTATGGTAATCTCAGGTTATTGTCTGCTGTTGTTGGTTCTCAGTCCAAAGTTGGTCTGGTCATTACAAATTATTTTAATTTGTTTATCAGAAAATGTCCTAATTTTCCTCTTGTATTTGAGGGACAACTTTTCTGGGTATATGATTGTTGGTTGGCATTCTTTTTCTTTCAGTTTTGTTTATATCATTCAATTGCCTTCTTGCCTGCATGGTTTCTGCTGAGAAATCAGAGCTTAGTCTTATTGACTAGCCTTTGTAGGTAACTTTTCATTTCCCCTCAAGCTACTCTCAGGATTCTTTCCTTGTCTTTGATTTTGGAAAGTTTATTATAATATATTTTGGTGATTTTCTTCTGGGGTTTAACCTGTTTGGCATTCATTCACCTTCTTGTATGCTTATCTTGTCTTTCATGGTGTTAAGAAAGTTTTCTTCCAGCAACTTTTGGACAATTTTTTCTATGCTTGTCTCTTTCGCATCACCCATAAGTTGTTCCTTATCTTCAAGGTGTTCCTCATAACTCTTAGGCTTCCTTCGGATTTTTTCCTTCTTTTTTTCTGATTGTTCTAGCATACTAGTATTGAGAAATTTATCTTTAAGCTCACTAGTGTGGGCTTCCATTGCTTCACATCTACTCCTTTGCCCATTCATTGTATTGTCCATTTCTGAAGATCTTAGTATTAATCTTCTGATGTTCTAATTCCAGGTTTTGAATTGTTTCAAAATTGATATTTATTTTGTCTGTCTGTTCTTGTAGTGTAGTTCAGAATTCTTTAAAAGTTTTTATTGGGTCTCTTTGCTTTCTTTGATATTTCTATTGATTCTTTGAAAGTACCTACTTATCATTCTTTTGAATTCTTTTCAAGTTAGTTCTATTACCTTTCCTTCCTCAAAAATGTTTTCTGACTCTGCATCTTGGTCATTTGTTTAAGCCATTCTCTCTTGTTTCTTTGTGTGAGCTAAAATTGTCTGTTGTCTCCAGGGCATTGTGAGGTTATTGTATTTGTAAAAACAAACAATGCAGTTATTGGACCCATAGGGAGAAATTTCTGGTCGGCGGTGGTGGTGGTGGTGGGGTAGTGTCCTGAAATTCAAGTAGCTCTTGAGGTAGTTGTAGAAAAGATGTGACAGCAGAGTTCCTGGCCCTAGATGGAGCTCCTACTGGCTTCGATGTTATCTATGTTCAGGGCACTTAGTCCAGTAGTTTGTGGGGGCTCTTGATGGTGTTGGTTTCAATGCCTGTTAGGACCATAGGGAAGCTGGAGGTAGAGTGGCTGCTTAAATGCTGCTCTGTAGGTTTTATAGGCCTAGAACCGAGCCTACCTAAATTTAGGCACCAAAATGGCACACCAAAGCAGCGCAGATAACTACCCTCTGATGCTGGCATGGCTCCCAACCACGTGGCTCTGAACTCCCAGAAAGCAGGGTCTGCTCTAGGGGCGTCTGAGGGTGGGAACTTTCCATACCCCTGGTACCAGGAAAGCATGGGGAAAAAGTAGAAATCACACTTTTTGTATTGCCCATGCCAATCTGCTATGCCAAGCCTCCCTCTGCTGCCAAACCTGCTCACAAGATGGTTGAGTCACGTTTGATGAGCCATTCACCAGTCAATCTCCCTCTTTTGCCATGTCTGCTCAGCCTCTCCTCCCAGCAAGAACTCCATCCACCTCTCTAACCTTTCTTCTGAAGTTTACGGTGCTAGAATTTTCATCTTTGCCTGTTTTATTTAGTCTTTTGTTTCTTTGTTGAAGAGAGTCCTTGGAATGCATCTGCTTAGTCTGCCATCTTGCTGGAAGTGCCCTATTTTAAATATATTAAATAATATTTAATGCATTTTAATATATTAAATTATACTTAATATATTAAATAATATTTAATATATTTAAATCATGCTTGTATTTCAAACGTCATGGGGTCTGTCGCTAAAGTTAAAAATATTCCTTTTTGCAGAAGTAGAGGTACAGTGTTTAGGAGAATATATTCCCTAGAGAGGAGAGATAAGTGAGAGTGGGAGTGTTAAGGGGTAGTTGCTTCTGTTTCCACATATTCTCTTTATCAGTAATTGTGAATTTCTAAACTTTCTTCCTTCTGCTCCTGGATGGTGGTAGCAGACTACATATCCCAGAAGTCTGTGCTCTCACAGCTCTTGGATTTAAATAGGATTCTGGGCTGTGCTTAGAGCCAGGCAGTTGCTTCACATCCAGGAGAGAGAGGAGTGAGAGGAGTGAGAGGAGTGAGAAGCAACCGAAAATTGGAGCCAGATTAAGAACTGGACCCTGAGTTTAGGTCGGATCTGAAGCAGCAGCTAAAGTAACAGTAACTAAAGAAGTTGAGAAGATGCTGGTTTTCTTGGGACTGCTCACTTCCTTTTTGTCTTTCCTGTACGTGACAGCTCCATTCATCAGGTTTGTCTTAATTCAGCATCTGCTAAAGTATTTTACATAACCCTGAATTGGGAGCCAGTTCTCAGGTGCTGGAAGAAGAGAGATGAAGGTGTAAGGAGAGAATGTCACAGCAGAAGAAGCAGTGAAGGAGGGCAGTGGTTATGGATACCCTGGTGGAAAACTGAGAAGGAGGCACGGGAGGCTGGGGAGGAGGGAACGGTCTGAATGGATGACTGTTTAGCAGTTCACCAGATACCTTAGAGGAGAGTCCTATTCCCCTGGATTTCTCTGTCCTTCATCAGGGAAGGACAGAGGAGGGAAACAAACTCCCTCCCCCTGGAGACCATCTCAGTTAACCTTTTGAGATGGCTCTTTCACTGCAGGACTGTGGAGGTGTCAAAGACAACATGTTTTGAGTGGAGAATTTAAAAACTGTTAATAATAACGAAGGTTAAATGGACATACCAAGGACAGAAAATTAGTCTAGGTCCTGGCATCGAAACATGAGTGCAAATTCTGGTTCTGCTACCATTAGCCAATGATTTGAACTTTTCTTGAACTATCTCACTTTTCTTCACTATGTTGTTGTTAAGTGTCATAGAGTCGGTTCTGACCCATAGCGACCCTATATAGGGTTTCCGAGGAGCTGTTGGTCAGCTTGAACCTCCAACCTTGCAGTTCAAATGGCTTTGCAGTCTATGTTGTTGTTGGTGTTAAGTGCCGTGGAATCAGTTCCGACCCATAGCGACCCTGAACAGGGTTTCCAAGGCTGTAAATCTTTACGGGAGCAGAAAGCCTCGTCTTTCTCCCGCAGAGCAGCTGGTAGTTTCGAACTGCTGACCTTGAGGTTCACAGCCCGATTCATAACCACTATGCTATCAGAGTTCCTTTTGCAGTCTATAGAGTGAGGTTATTAACAGGTTGAGGGGGCTGAAATAGCTGACCAATGTGAAGCACCGAGTCTAGTGCCTGGTAGAGTGAGTATGCTCAGGATATGTTAGTTCTGTCCCCATCCAGTCCTCTTTTTTAGAACTTGTCAAGTCAGTCCTATAAAAAAAGTATGCTCTGCAGAGGGGCCTGGCAGAAAGTTTCTGAAGATGCAGGCTCTCTAAAACTGGAGAAGCATATGGTTTGAAGATTAGGTGAGGAAACTGACCTGGGGAACCTCTAGAGATAGCTCTGGGTGTCTTTGCTACCTAGCGTGGAAAGCCGCCATTAGTCCTGGCTCAGGAGCATTGACCCTATTTGTACAACTGATTACTTGTGGCTTCTGGGTATGTGAGCTTCTGACCTAAGTTGATAAAGATTAACTTCTTTGGGTCTCCTGACAAGTTAAAGAAATGCCTCTTTGAAGCTGGATAGATTTTGTGTACCCCAGTCTGGAGTTGGGGAGGGTGGTGCATGAATGCTCTTTTTTTCTTACCCATAGGAAATTCTTTGCTGGTGGGGTGTGTAAAGCAAATGTGCAGCTTCCCGGGAAAGTGGTGGTGATCACTGGTGCCAATACTGGCATTGGCAAGGAAACGGCCAGAGAGCTTGCTCGCAGAGGCAAGTCCTCCCATGTTGGTCTCCACAGGATGGGGCCTCCTGTCCTTCTTCTTGGTGCCTCTGCTCCTCCCCCTGTCCCTGTTTCCTTGTCTTTCCTTCTAAGGGTGGAGGCTCTGACTGAGAATTCAAAGAACCTGGGGTTCAAGTCCAGCTGTGACACTAATTCATTCTGTGACCTTAAATAAATCTTCTGTCCTTTTGGCTCCTTCCCTATTATATGTTGTTGTGAAGTGCTGTTGAGTCAGTTCCGACTCATAGTGACCCTGTATAGGGTTTCTGAAAAACCAGAACTGCCAACCTTGAAATCCAGTGCTGCTCCTACAGCCCAATGCCAGTAATCCTCCCTGTTATACAAAGTAAGGAAAATCCCGATGTTCATGTATACTATTGGTCAAGCCAGCTATTCTAAAAGATGATATGAAGCAATAATAGTACTGATAATAATAAGAGTACTCAGTAATAATTCTGGCTGAGTGTGCAAATGAGGGCTCCCAGCCTGAGGCTAAACTGACAGTGGTAAGACTGGACAGTACTATCTGTTAGAATGCTGGCAGCCCTAAGGCCACTTACTGCTTTGGAGAAGGCTGGGTGAATGCTCTGTCCACCAGTCTCAAGTTCATTTAATACACACCTATCTTTCTGGAAGGTCAGTTTGAACTGCAAGGTTGGTGGTTCAAACCCACCAGCCTCTCCTCAGAAACTCTATACAGGATTTCTATGAGTTGGAACTGATTTGATGGCACTTAACAACATTTTTGTGACCTAGGAATTCCCTCTGTTTTGGTTCCAGGAGCCAGAGTTTACATTGCCTGCAGAGATGTACTAAAGGGAGAGTCTGCCGCCAGTGAAATACGAGCAGATACCAAAAACTCCCAAGTGCTGGTGCGCAAACTGGACCTATCAGACACCAAATCCATCCGAGCCTTTGCTGAAGGCTTTCTGGCAGGTGAGGGCCTGGTGGGTAGCTAGAAAAGCAGGAAGTTGGATGTGGGAGTGGCTGGTCCAGCCTGGACCATCTTGGGTCCTTACATCAGAACCAACATCGATTCCACTGGACAGGTTCTGCCACATGAACCAGCAGGACAGGGACTTGGCAGACGGACAGCAAATGGGCAAGCTGGGCAGGATCCTTATCTCTTACTTACCTCAGCAGTAGGAATGTTGGAGGTGTCAGCTCTTGTCTGGGCTTGCACCTTGGCATCCAGGTGTGGCCCTCATGCTACTCTTTCATCCTGAGAATCAACCTTCTGGGCCACAGGCACTAAATGAGGTTTTGCTGCTGTGATCATTTTTTGGAGTCTTACAAAATGACCAGCTTCTGCCCCAGACTATGAAATCCTGAGAGACAGGGACCATCTGTCTTGTTTTACCACTGAATTCCCAGTGCTCACCAGAGTCATTCTAACCCAGAGTTGGTACTCAGTACACATTGCTGACCAAACAAATGAATGAATGGTGTCAGGAGGATACAAGTAACTAAAATTAGGAACCCAATGTAGGTTTGTTTCTAGGGACAATGGTTATCGAGTTTCACTGAGGTAGGTTCAAATGGGGCTAGTTATTGACTGTTGAGACAATACCTTGTCCTAGAAGACAGAAGCAGAGGGAATGATTCCTATCAAAACTTTGTTCATTGAGGAAAACTCAAGAATAAAAGCAAGGGGCAAATACTCAGCGCTGTGGTTCCTTGCTAACCACCAGGTGTCCTTGGTTGTGCGTTACAGAGGAAAAGCAGCTCCATATCCTGATCAATAATGCAGGAGTGATGGTGTGTCCATATTCCAAGACAGCTGATGGCTTTGAGACCCACATGGGAGTCAATCACCTGGGTAAATATTGAGTGGCTACAAAGTAAGGCTCCTCCTATGTTGTTTGATTTAGGGAGCTTAATCTATGCCAGTGCTGTAGATTCTGAGTGGTGCTCACAGAGCCCAGGATTCCAGTAGACTCGATGTATTGATTTGCTATTCACTTTCACAAAAGTGAGATCCTCCTACCATTAAGAACTTCAAAAACATCAAGAGATCCCTGGGAGAAAAATGTCACACTTGGATAAGGCACTGGCAATTTAAGACTTGCCAGGCAGGACCCCACCTGGAGAATGCAGGAGCCTGGATTTAGGTGATGGGATCATGTCTATAGTTGAGGACCAAGCAAAGCATGGAGCATGCTCTCTGATCCTTGTTGTTGTCAAGTGCCATCAGGTTGGTTCCGACTCATAGCAATCCTGTATAGGGTTTCTAAGGAGAAGCTGATGGATTTGAACCACCGACTTTGTGGTTAGCAGTCTGGTGATTATCCTGCAGTACTGCACTCGAATCCTAGGCAAATATTATTTTCCCTTGACTATTTCATCCTTCCATCTGCACATGAGTGTACCTCTGTCTATAGTTGTGCAAGCCTGGCCAGAATGGAAACCAGAAGCTAGCAGGTGTGCATTACTGTTGACTGGGGAAAGGGCAGGGATACAAATAAGTTACAGATCAAGTCTATGTTGCCCTATCTGCAGTCTAGCACTGACCCTATGACTTGAGGAATCCACTAATTCACACTGACTAACCATTGGCTTGGAATTACTCATAGCATCACATTTGCTCACACCCAGAAGATAGTAAGCTAATGTTGAAATCCTGTCATCAGCTTCTACACCCTGAACCTGGGCTGCCACTCCAGTCTTCAGTCTCTCTCCTACTGGCTCTTCTCACAGGCCACTTTCTTCTCACCCACCTTCTCCTGGAGCGATTGAAGGAGTCTGCCCCTGCGCGAGTGGTGAACTTGTCATCAATGGTCCACCACGTTGGCAAGATTCGCTTTCATGACCTGCAGGGTGAGAAAAACTACAGCCGGGGCTTTGCCTACTGCCACAGCAAACTGGCCAATGTGCTTTTTACTCGTGAGCTGGCCAAAAAGCTCCAAGGTAAGTCAAGAGTATTGCCTGGGGTCAAGATTGTAAAAACAGAGTTTTCAGTACAGATTAGAGGTTCACAGACACTTGTGAAGTCAGGCTGTCATACATGTATACTCCCAGTGGTAAAGCTTTGTTTGCATCAAGGAGAACGAGATTATAAATGGAATTAAAACAGTTCTTGCCCTTGGGAAGCTCGAAACGAAATCCTGGCAAAGAACCTCATAAAGTGATCTTACATTTATGTTATATCTTATTTCATATCTGTTAGCATGTTTGATTTTCACAGCAAACCTTTGCAACAGATAGAGCAGGTCTTAATGTTCCTATTCTATAGAGCAGAACTGAGGCCTAAGGTTATATGGCAAATGAAGGAGTCAGGGCTGGAATGCTGGTGGCCTTTAAATCCAGGGTGCTTTCTTTTGCTGAGGGTCACATGGGGAGATGAACCACAGTGCTGGTATGGTCTGGAGTCTGGCAGCCAGACTGCCTGTCAGACCCTTAGGCCCCATCTCTACCAGCTGTTAGCCACATGTGCATGTGGGCATATTCCTTTGCTCGCCCCTGACTTCATCTCTGCTGTGAAATGAGTCATGCTTAGCTTTCAATTCTCTAATGACATGCTCCCATGGAATTTTAGTTGAGTTGCTGTCTCTTACATCTGTGACTCTGGAGGTCCATTTGCTACAATGAATCAAACAGTTGGGGAACAATGATCTTTCCTATCAGAGTGCTGAAGGGAGTAGGGCAGAATAATTGCAGATGTTAATGGCAATAGTAGTAGCTGAGGATTGTGTGTGGGTCGTGTGCTGTGCATGTTTCAATGCATTTAATATTCACAACATTCCTATGAAGTTGGTGCTACTATTTCTCCCACTCTGCAAACAAAGAGACAGCCACAGAGATGGTAGGAAACTCACTCAAGCCAGAGGTCTGACTGAGTCAGGAGTTGGCTCCAATAGTCTGCTTCCCAAGTCCACATTCTTCACTCTACATATGGTTCAGACCTTGGCCTGGCAGGTTACAAGCATGACCTAGGGCAATTTACTTAACTTCTCTGTGACTGTTTCCTTAGCTATATAATGAACATCTTTATATGAGGCGGGGGGCGGGGAGGTCCAAAAAGTTCATGGAAAAATAGAACGAAGAAATCATGGATTTTTTTCATGAACTTTTGGAAACCCCCTCCTATTACCTACCTCACAAACCTCTTTGAGGATTAAATGAGATTATGTGTGTAAAGCAACTAGCATAGCCCTTGCACATAATAGGTTCTAAAAAGAGTGGTGGCATCAGGAGGGTTTTTGGAGGGCATGTGTGTCGTGGACCAGCCTTGACACACTTATTTAGGGGTCCCAAGAGGGAGCTGTGGCATTGGCAAAGCACACAGAATCAATGGGTCTCGATGAATGGTGAATCTTCTCCGTTTATTTCAAATTCTCAAACAGCTCTTATACTACTCTATACCATCAATCTATTATTCATTCTTTTCAAAGTAGTGGTCCAAATCATACATATTAATCATTTCAATATAGAACATCAAGAACATCAAAATCTTCTTTGTTTCCCTTTATGTAGTTAGACAATATCTGATTTCTGTAACCAAACCTTATTGTTCTAAAAATGTCACGTTAACCTTGACAAGGATTTTGTTACCCTTAACCTCCTATTCATTATTCTTTGAAACTTATCAACTGTAACTAGGTCCAGATATTCCTAAGACTCTTAAGATTTGTTTAAACATTCTATATCCTGCTACTCCCCAGGGAGCTAAACTCCTAATTGTAATCTCAAATACAAATTATATTTTCAATTAACTTCATACATCACTAACTTCTAAAAATTAAAAATTCTCAAGCTCTTACAAAGCTTCTAACTATAACCCTACCAGTCTCCATGGCTCCTGCATCATGGTTCAGCTATTTCAATGGCTATTGTTTGTGATTAAAGTGAAACAGGTGCTAGATTATGATCTCAACTCTATACTGGCAGTGTTTCAACTGGTTTAAAATGTCTGATTATCAAACTATAAAAATCAAAAATATGTATATTTCTTAAATCAGAGTAACAAGTATAATACTGGTTATTTATAACATTGATTCTTATTAAAATGAAAGAATTTTTTAAAAAAACAAACAAACTACAAAGCCATCAAGGTCCCCGCATGAAATTTCCTCTTGAGACTCTGCTAAATCAACGAGGCACCCATTGCTGCTCTGCAGTACAATGGGCTTTCTTCATGCATAGGATCTTCCGCTGCTCTGTGTTGTTGCAATGTATTTCTATCAGAGCCATCATGGCCCCTGACATTTCCTCCCTTTTTATTTTTTAAATGAAGTGTGTGACCTTCTTGTTGGACTTCTGTAAGAGTTGTTTTTAAACATCGGATGATGACTGGAAGGCAAAAAAGTAATATTAAAATCCAAAAATAATGGCTGCATTTATAATCAAAGCCCAAAAAGAACGGGTGGAAACTGTGTCGTTAATGGATTTAACTAGGGAGGCCAATACCTGTTCTAAACAAGTGGACCATAAATGTGTCTGACTAATAGATCTAATCTGTGAATGTAAAGCTTACATATTAAATAAAATGTCTGAGTTGTTCCAAATGCCCTTAAGGTGAGCCTGAATTTGAGACCAGGTAATGTCTGTGCCATTGTAGGGCAGAGGTGTTACATATATCTACTTGTAATTATGATGACATGCAGTAGTCATCCTAGTTTTAATATTCTCTATTTATGTCCCCATGTAGAGAACAGCTTCTTCTAGAATATTAATACTATCTACTAATTCCTTGTCTATTTGCTCCTGAGCAGCCAATGCTAAAGATGAGGATGCTGTTTCTAAGGTAAACAAAGCAGGATCAGTATACCAAGGTTCAGATAAATTCACAGGCAACATGACAAAGGGCAGACGCCTGATTATTACAAAGATGTTAGGAGGAAAAGAAGCATTAATGCAATTTGTAATATAACAATGTTTACAATAAATGTTGTACACAGAGCCAATATGAGTCAGAGTTAAATCATCTGGATTGTTAGGATATAATATAGCAAATGGAGTCACGACACAAGCTGTCACTTTATAAGGGTCTGTAGTCGAATCTGTAGGCTGGCTCAAATATATAGTATTGAGGGCTGCAAAAAGCCTGTATAAATCATTTTGTATTATCATATAAGAAGAAGAGGTAACAATAAATCGTGGCATAATCTACCCAAGCATAAACCAACCTCTATTTTTTGACTGAGTTAGATTATAATTTGTATAATCAAAACCAGGATAAGAAACAGATCAATCATGAATTAAACTAATAGAGTCAGAGGGAGAGTAGCTAACACCTTTTTTAACAAAGCCACAAGAAAACCATTTAGGGAATCCAGTATAAAGACTTCTGATTGACCTCCCAGCATTTGAGAATTATTTACAAAAATAGGAACATCTGTTGAATCCCATTCCCTGTACCTGACAAGCAAAATTTACAAGCATAGCAACAAAGAGAGTTTCTGGAGTTGTCTCAGCTCCCTGAGAGTCAACAGTTCTTACAGCGGGCTTCGTTAAGCACTTCAATTGCCCCCAGGTGGGGGGTGGTCCTTGTCTGGTTGAAGCAGCCTGCTTCATCTTGCAGAGACAGATGTTGGAGCCTGTGGCAGAGGAAATGCCACTGAAAATGCAGATGAAGTCACGCCTTCAGATGGCTCCTCAATGATTGCTTCCATGCTCCGGGGAGGGAGAAGTGGCTCTCTTCTCGCTATAGGGTTGAATTAGTCTGTCTGGAATCCATATGTGGGGATGGGGGGTGTCAGCGTCCTGTGAAAAAAACTAAAGCATATCTTCGCCCCTTGGTTAGTAACACATCTGAGCTATGAGAATCAGAAAACAGATTAGAGGGGGTTTGTTGCAGGTGATTAAAAGCAAAGATAACAACAATTAACTCTGTGCTCTGTGCTGAAGTTTCCGTGGTCAGTAAAACTGTCAGCAGGTTCAGGGAAAGACTCATTGAAAAACTGCAAAGAGAAGACTACAGAATGATTGTTAATAAACTGAAACAGGGAGTTACTGGAAAGGTGGCATAGAATTTGTCCCGAAAAGTTTTCCAAGGCGATCTGTCAATCTGCATTGTTCTGCAAAAGAGTGATTATTAGTTTGGAGTATAAGTACTGATGATTTTAGAGAAATCTTTCCTAAATAACTCTCGGCTTTTTCTCCTACCTTTCATTATTAAAGTTGCAACACTGCTGTGTAGGAGGTCACCACTTTTCGTGGAGTTATGGGGAAGTGCACTCATTCAAGGAGGTCTTTCGTGAAAGAGAAAGTCCCAATAACTCCAGTGGAATTTGGCAGCTTTCTCTTTTAACTCAGCCTGATCCTCTGGGCTTAAGAGATCAGGAGTGCTTTCATTTGCAAAATAATCACTATGTCTTTTGTTTATTAGCATAAAAAATGCTCAATTTAAATGTTAACAGAAATGTTTTTTCTGTAGGGGGTGCAGATGAACATTCAGTATCTGATTTAGTATCTAATGTCTGCCTAAGAATATTTCATAGTGAGAACGCTGTTACCGGCATATCCACAGCTCCATTGTTAGCATACCAAGATCTCATTTCTTTTCTGACAGCATCCCATGTCTCTAAGTCCAAGGTCCCCTTTTCAGGAAACCAAGGACTTACTTTCTGTATAAATTCAAGAAATTCAAGTAGTTGGAATGTACTCACCTTAATCCCTTTCAGCTGTAAAGAATGTTTAATTATATCAGCATATAATTTTCTATCTTTAGATTCATTTTGACCCATGGTTTAAAGCGTAACTTCAAAAATCAATCCTTTCACAGATTAATTATGGCACTAAAACATCTCACTGATCACACTTCTCTCTCCCAACCTCTCTGTCGGGGTGCCCACAGTTCCCTGGGTTGAGGTCCTAGCCACACCGAAAAATCTCAAGTTACCTTGTTCCTATATTGTTGCTTCTAAATATACTTACCCTCTTTGAGCCCCACGTTGAAGGTGCCAGAATGCCAGGGGCCAGCCCCAACAAACTTATTAGGGGGGCTCACGAAGGAATGTGTGGAGTCAGCTGAAGAAAGAGATCACACGGAGTTGATGATTTGTGCTAAATTCTGGATGATGATGATGATGATGATGATGATTTTACTTAAATTTTTCAGCTCCTTATAAACCGTTAAAATCTCATGGTGTACAATGATCTCATACACAATCAATTTCTTTGAAGCATTATGCAAATGATCTTGTTAAAATACCTTGATCTTTCTGACATCCTAAAATGTTAGGTTAACCTTAAAACATAATTCTAAATCTTAACTCCTATTTCTACCTTCACCTATTATTTTCTATAGATTCATTAATCACAACATATACCTAAACATTATTTGCTATGGTAACTGATGACACAGTTTCTCATGATTGATTGAACAAGAAAAACAAGAAGCATAAAAAAGCACTTAAAGCTTTGTAGTTAAGAAGAAATGGAATAACTTCCTTATAACAACTTCTTTATACAAAACATCTAGTTAAATTTCTGCTTATGAACTATTACTATTCCCTTAGCCCTTAATTGCATTTTAGCTAATTTTCTAAAGGTCTTAATGTCCCTGACCAAAACTACACAGAAGGTTGAATGTAATCTTAAGCTTGAACTGGCAAAAACTTTAGATGGTTTTTCCTAGTGGTGAAACTTATTGTTAGTGTGAAAACCATTCTTTAGAACTACGCATGATAGAATATGGTGTGAAGGTGTCTAAATGTAATTTTTTACCTTTAATATGGTCATTGAAGAGTTGTACTAAAAACTTCTATAATAAAATCAAGAAAAATAAAAAATGAACTATTCATAAAAGGAAAAGACAAAGACTGCAAGTCCCCCACATGAAATTTCTTCTTGAGGCTCTGCCAAATCAACGAGGCACCCATTGCTGCTCTGCAGTACAATGGGCTTTCTTCATGCATAGGGTATTCTATGCTGTTGCAATGTATTTCTTATCAGAGCCATCATGGCCCCTGCCACATGTGACTCTTCAATCTATACCTCATACAATGTGCTTGCCAGGAAAATGTACTTCAACACAAGTTTCTAGCTCCATACCTTCCAAACAGATTGCTATCCCTAAACTCCACTTAAAAGATATCACTGCTGATGATTGATAATAATACTACTGCATGTTACGGTTTTTATTATTAATACTTAAGCCACTGTGTAGAGGTGCCATCTATTGAACCAGACGAACCTTCAATCAGGCACCCCTTTTGGAACATAGAATATGGGGAAAGTTTGGATTATAGGGGGCTGAGAGAGCTGTAAGTCTTTCTGATGTGAGTCTGTGTAGGTCAGAGTGGTTCCTTTGGAACCCTGGAAACACTGCCCATTTCCTGAGTTCCTCCTTCTCACTTGTTCATGGAGCTACAGGGGATGGGTTGTGCTCTTGGGTTTGGAGTGTACCCTGGTCTAACTGTTCCTCCTTTGTTCTAGGCACTGGGGTCACCACTTACGCAGTGCACCCCGGTATCGTGCGCTCAGAGCTGATCCGACACTCGGTTCTCCTGTGCCTGCTCTGGAGGCTCTTCTCTCCCTTTGTTAAGTCAGCGCGGGAAGGAGCACAGACCAGCCTGCACTGCGCTCTGGCTGAGGGTCTGGAACCCATGAGTGGCAAGTACTTCAGGTGCGTGAGTGGCATTGTGGTTCTTTGTCACCATCATGTGCCTGGTAAGGTGTCCTGGTGTGGTGCTGGACTGCTAACCACAGGGTTGATGGTTCAAACCCACCAGTCGCTCCTTGGAAACCCTATACAGGGTGGTGATAAGTGAAAAATGATTCAACAGCACTTAACAACATTTGTGTGGTGGGGCGTTCTGATGTGGTGCTGTAGGAAAAGCACGGAACTGCTAACCACAGGTTAGCACTTCAAACCTACCAGCTACTCTTTGAAAACCCTACACAGACTCCATGGCACCTAACAACAACAACAACAACAACAACAACAACAACAACAACAACAACAATGTGTGTGGTGAGGCAATGTGATTCCTGGGCTTTGTTTCTACCAGCAGCTGAGTTTATGTCTGATACTGTTTAGAAGACAGACATGGGTTGGGCCTAAAGTCCAAATGTCACTTTTCCATGAAAATTTACATTAGAAACTTGGAAAGAGTTGTTTATAATGGCTCTATCTTATATCTCTTTGCTGTGACTTCACATGTAATCCCTGCGGCAATGTGCAAACTGTTAGAAAAGACTGTCCTTATTGGTTTTTGCCATGGAAAGATCATTACCAGGCCCTCTGTAGTTATTTTCTTCTCTTTAAAGCTTTTGGCTGATTTATTTTAAGGATTACTTTTCATGAATTTCTGTTATGAATACCACTTAGCACATTGCACCAGGGCACAGTCTTCTCTCCCTATAATGAATTCCTTCCCCCAGTGTTGCCAAGGTTGATACTACCTATTGGAATATAGAAATAAACATATCAGTGTTGAGTCTTGCTGTGAACTCAATGGGTAATCAGTTTGTGAAATGAGGGGAGCCCAAGATAAAGCCTCTTTTCTATTCTATGGCTGTATCCCATTTTGTTCAAGGTTATTCAGCGATGCACCAATTATTAAGTGAAGCACTGGAAATCACTGAAATGCCCAACAAATGGGAAATGGATAAATGATAATAGCTAATGTTTCTTGAACTCTTTAAAATTGGTTTTAAGAAGATTTTTAAATTGTATTTTGATACAATTGACTTTCTGCAATCCAATGTATTATATTGTTTGCATTAAAAAATACATCCTGAGAAAAGTTCATAAACTTATCCGTACTACCTAAGGGGTCCAGGCACAAAGCGAGGTTCACAGTTCCTGGGATAAAGTATTTGTTCCTTTAATCAAAGATACAAGAGAGTGAGCCACAAAGAGGGACTTAATGAAGTTTCTGCATCTTTGATCTATTGGGGCTGGGGACTGGTCACTCTACCCCAGTCTCCATATTCACATTCTTTCTCTGTCCTTCAGTGACTGCAAGAGAACTTGGGTGTCCCCAAGGGCCAGGAATAACAAAACGGCTGAGCGCCTATGGAACGTCAGCTGTGAGCTTCTAGGAATCCAGTGGAAGTAGCCGGTGGAGGATCTGAAGCTTCTCAGGTCATCATGAAAAGGGTCTGAGGAGAAGGCCCACTCTGAAGGACTGCCCTCCTGGCTGGCTGCTGCTGCAATTTGGGCCCTACTCCAATCCTCCTCACCCTTCTGGAAATCTTGGCACACTCATCCTTCTTGTGAGGCTGGTTCACGGAACTAGATGTTCACACCTACACAGCAACATTCCCTAAGACCTGGAGAGTGGTTACCTTCTGGGTGCAGAATGACTGGGAAGACTAGGCTGGGCATGAGGGTAGCTGAAGAGTCTGGAAAGTTGGGTCAATTTCCATTCTCATCACCACCAGAAACCCCAGCCTGCACCCTCAGCTGAGGCAACAAGAGCATCAGAGTTATGGATTTCAAGAGCATAGACTCAAATTCTTGACTGTTTGCTTTCCTTTTTGAAATGCTAACCACAGCTCTTGGAGTCTGAACCAATTTAGGAAGATCTTGTGAACCCTGGCCATGTTTGATTTCTTTCTCTGAGCACCTGGGAACCATTCTTGTGATGTGAGACCTTCCCATTTTCAATTGTGCACGTTGTTTCTTTTTCTTAAGAGTTTCCTTTACCTTAATTTTTAGAGAAAATAAAGAAGGTGTGCTCATCTTACTGACTTGTTGATTTCCCCAGGGTCAAAAGGAGAACTGGAACAAAGAGGTGAAGCCTGCATTCTGGTTGAGTAAGCAGTCTCTCACATTATTCATCCACCCATAACCTTATTCAGTGTTGGGTGATGTAATAAGCAAGGTAAACTTGGGTTTACTAATCTATAGTGAACAATTTCTTTCTTTTTTTTTTTTTTTCACATCAAAGATTCTGCTGCTAGGTATGGTTGGTATCTTTCTCCCTTCCAACTCCATAGCACCTTCCTATATAATTAAAGCCTCTTTTCAAAATTTTAATCCCTGACTGGGACAAGAGTACCTAGTAAGCAAGATAAGCACAGGTTTACTTATACTTACTAATCTGTAGCAAACAGAGTCACATGCTTTTCACCATTGTCCAAGTGAAATTGGTCACTACAGATTAGTAAATATGAACAATTAAGCCCATGCTTACCTTATTTACTGGGTAATCCATCCCTGCTCACTGTAATCTCAAATTTGTATGCAAAATAAGATGGTCCAGTAGGAACTCTGTTATGTTTTTTCCAGCTCTGACCTCTTATTGTTTAAGAAGTGATGTTGTTGTTGTGAAGTGCCGTCAAGTCGGTTCTGACCCATAGCAACCCTGTATAGGGTTTTTGAGGAGCAGCTGGTGAGCTTGAATCACCGGCCTTGCGGTTCAAACGGCTTTGCAGTCTGGCGCATTAGCCCACAGCACCACATCAGGATGGCTTAAATAGCATAGGTACTTCATTCCACCACAGGTTAGGGTTATTGCTACTATTTGTAGTTGAGGTGGTAGTTAGTAGCCTTCTAGTTAGCCCCCCAGCACAAGGCAACCCCATCTACAATATTGGGAAGAGAGATGAAAGCAATTTGAGCCAAAATCTATCACCCAAGAGGAAAGGTCTTTGCTTCCCATAGCCTTAGAAATGTTGGGGACTAGAGGGCTGACCTTAAAGATATTTGCAGGAGAAATTATTTTCCTAGGAGAAAGCAGAGGATCCTGAAGCTGAATTCAATGGTTTTGGGAAAGAGGATGTCATTCCTAGCATTATTATCAAACACCACTCTGTGAAAAACACAGAAATATCTCCAATTCTAGTTCCCCATATTCACGTCCACGCTGCAGCATCCGTTCCTTTCTGAAGCATGTGTCATTTCCAGCAATCCTTGGCAAAGGTTGCAATTCAGCCAACTCAAAGCACGACAGGGCTGAGGCTGGTTATTGCTAACCATGATGATATATTGCTTCTCAGTGAAGTGTTATCTGGTCAGGGAAAAATAAGATTTCTATTCTATTCCAAATTGCTGGATGTATTTACAGCTAATAGTGGTGGTTGTGATTATGTGTTGTGGAGTTAGTTCTGACTCATAATGACCCGTCAAAAGGGTTTCTGAGGCTGTAAATCTTTACGGGAGTAGAAAGCCTCATCTTCCTCCCATGGAGAAGCTGGTAGTTTCTAACTGTTGACCTTGCGGTTACCAGTCCAACTTGTAATCTACTACACTACCAGAACTCCTTACCAAATGTGTGAAAATTGAACGAATGAAAAAAAAATGAATGAAAAAAACAAAACAAAACCAATTTAAGTGTTGTTATTGGTTTTATATATGTTGTTGGTATTTTTGGAATATAAACCACTGCAGTTCCATTGGTTCAGGTTGTAGACTCCCAATATTTCTCAAAGCATCCAAGTGCCCAAATTAAGCACAGAACTTCCTCAGCGCAATTCTTCAGAATCACTTCATGCTCAGGCTCCATCTTGCCTTTTCACAGCTTCCTGTTCAATAACTAAGTATTATCTTGTCTGCACAGGCCTCTTATGTTTCCAGAACAACCCAGCAAAGTAAAGGGCATGGCAAAAACAATACTGGGAATTGGGCGTCTGAGTCACTGTTCAGCCTTCCCATCTCTGTTCCCTGGATTATTACGCAACCACACAGGCCATTTTCCTCTAGTCTACATATGCTACAAATATGCTGTACTGCCTGGCAGAGTCCCCATAGGGTACAAGAGAAAAGATCTTGGGTGGGGATGCAGGATTACATCATCCATGACTTCTTGTTTACTGACTGTGTAGGTTCCACTGTCTTTCTTATGCAGTCTAGCTCAGGACTAGAAAATTCCCTTTCACTTTGGCTCACTTGACACTGGCCTGAATTTCTTAAAAATAAAACTCACTTGGGAAACGAAAGGCAAGAGAAATCAAAGAGACGATCTGGAAGTCAAGAAGCAAACAGATTCCAGAGCACAGATTAACGAAGTGATGATGACTAGCTGCCCCAGAGTACCATGGCTGGCACTGGCCCTTGTCTAACTCAACTCTGTCACTATGTGTCTGTCTAAACTCTGGGGGAGCTACCCTGTGTAATATTCTCCTTCCATTACAAAACATACACAACCCTTGATAAACTTAGACCAAAAAATGGAGTATTTGGCTCATAAACTTAAGGAAAGTTTGAAATTGAGGTGTGGGAAAGCCAGAGATGTATCTCAGAAATAGACAAGAACTGGGAGCTCAAGTACTGCTAGGATTCCTTCTCTATTTCTCAATTAGCCTTTTGCTGGACTAAAAAGTCAGTTTGAACCACAAGGTCTCTAGTTCAAGCTCACCAGGCGCTCCTTGGTCAGAACTGACTCTATGGCACTTAACAACAACAGTTTGTAATAACAAATGGTGATATTAAGCAACGGTCATCAAAACATTTTGGTATTACTGTGTTACTATGTTATAGATGTTTTAATGTATCTGGACGTGTTTCTTTAATTGTTTTATGCATAGAAAAGGTACACTATAAGCTATATACAAAGACAAACATTTGATTAACTGACATTAGTACTTGTTTTGATTTATGTGTAAATTCAGTTTTTAGACAGATTTAGGGATAGAACCATTCACCTATATAAACAGCACCTTCTTACAGACATGTGCTGATGTTACTGCAGATATTAAGAAGAGGAAATGCTGGAAAGAATTGTCTTTATCACTTCTACTAATACTTACAGTGTATAAAATTACTTGTATTTGTTCCTTTAGTCATAGAATTAACCAAGGCTAGAGCTGTCTTCTATTGTGATTTCTTGTTACATGACATGACAGTCATTATTGTTTAAACCTGTGTCTGGACTCATACAATAGTATTATGCTGAACCATATAAAATTGCTGGTATTCAACCAGTTTTGACAAACTTCTTTCACTATAAAGGAGTCCTGATGGTGTAGTGGTTAAATGGCGGGCGCCATATTAATTAAGGAATTTAAATGAAGGAATTGAGACATATTAATCAAAGAATTGAAATAAGGAAATGAGACAATGGGGACCCTATGCATGAAGAACTCATTGTTCTAGCAGAGCGACAAAGACTGTTTTCTTTGCATTGGCAAAGCCACAAAGAAATATTCTATGCACAGCCCCTAGTTAATTTTTTTCTTTTTGAATCATTCTCCGATTTATTCATGATTTTATTAGTATCCCTTTACTTTAGATTTTGACTCTCCCACACTTTAGTATATTTTTATTAAAAGTTAGAAGCCATATATTAGCTACATTTTATTCTACTTATAATCATGGGTAGTTTTGATACTTATATTGGCAATTTTCTTAGGACTGCTAGGAGACAGGGTTTGTCAGTTGAATTACTACCAGCTTAGGTTCAGTGATTATAAACATTCTTCCTTGTAACCTTAGTTTAAGACAATAAATAATCCTTAAAAGCAATTAGAATATAGATAAGGGCTATGGGAATACAGATACGTAAATAAGAAGTCTGATCAGTAAAATTGGGGAATTGTTTTCATGGCCTCAGTTTCGCTGATAAGTGATGTTTTTGTAGACTATAAACAGGTAGTGTATGGAAGAAGTTAATGAAGTGTTAGTTGCACCCGACAACTAAGATTGATGATTTAACAAGACTTAACAAATAAAGGTCAAGAAACATATGTGAAGGTTAACTTGCTCCTCAGAGAAAAGAATAGAAGTTATTTATGTAGGAACAAATGTTTAACTAAAAGGTTTCAAGGCATCAGAATGTCTTGTATGCCTTGATGTAATGTTTTTTTGCTGTAACTTCTCATCTCTGTTGTAAATCTAAGGGTTGTAAACCATAAAGAATGTGCCCCAGAATAGATTGTATTTTGAAGACATTGATTACTATGAAAACAATGTTTTTTGTAACGGCATATAAGAGGGTTGTGAGAGAGGAAGAGTTGAAGAAGAATAATAAAGCATGTAAGAGAGAAGATTTTGGATTCATCACAATCTATCGACTATGTGTAATTCTTTTCCACTGACGCCATACATCTCTTCGGAAAACCTGGAATAAGTTTGATGGGGCTGGCTCCCAGCAGTTAAAGTGCTTAGTTTCTAACC